AAAGTTGATTTGAATGAAATTTGTGGAGTGATTGTACTTTAAGACGATAACAATTATCGATCGATGGTACTATTCTTGAATTTGAGAGAGTACCCTTCTCAAGTGCACGTGTCAAAATTTAATTTTCAAATAAAATGTTAAATTAAGATCATGTTGAATTCTATGTCATGCCCATTTTGGATAAGTATGACATATTTTATTATAATATAGAAAGGAAAAACACTAAATTCCATATAGACCACTAACAAAAGTTCATTCATTATGAAATCTAAGTCCATTAAAAAACATCTCTATCATGAGCCTCTTGTAGTACATATAACTGAATGAGTATTTTCTAATTAAGCTTAGGATGCATGTGACATACTATAACTACAACAACAACTTACCAAATTTAATCCCACAAATGGGATTTGAGGAGGATTGTGTGTATGCGGATGAGCAGATCTTATCCTGTGAAGGTAGAAAGGTTGTTTCCAATAGACCCTTGGCTCAAATAAAATATAAATATGTCGTGAAAGAAAGACATTGACAAAGTTGCAATATGGGAAACTGCTAAGATAACTTCATTTAAGCTGAACAAAACTACGATTCAGTACACACAAAGCAAGTAAAGCAACCATTCAATACATAATAAAGCAAAAGTATCAGTCTTAAGGAGGCTCAAGAAGTTCTCGATCCCTTACCCTTTGAACTTGATGCAGAACATGATGCATAACTTGATGCAGCCTTTTTTGCAATCCATTTTCTCTCTTCAATTGGCAAAAAATATAGGTATCTATAAATATTGATATGTAGAACCTGCAACATCCGCGAAGCTTCGTGGTTGTGCTGCAAAGACATACAAAAGTTAACAATTATACACATGAAGCTGTAACATTAGTTGAAAAGATCTATATTTTTTATCGATACAAAAGAGATTTATCGATGGTCACTAAATGTATTCATTGCAACACTAAAGTCACAATTCATTTTTGTACGAGTAAAGTAACTAACTTTTTGGAACACTAAAGTAACAAGACTAGTTGTTGTAACAGTAAAGGAGAGCGCACAGATGAAACTCACGAGAAGAGTGCGCCTAAAGGTGTTGACAAATAGCTGAGGAGGAATTTGTCTTATGAATTCATCACATGGCTTGCATTTTGAAGGTTGATCAAACAATAAATCCAAGAGACATGTAGTTGATACTTAGACAGAAATCGCAATCATGAAACATGAGCCGCAGGGGCGAGAATGTTTACCCAATGGACCTATATATTTTTGACAGACATACATAACACTGTATCACATATTCTAGATGCAGCAAACAAGGTTTTAGAGAAAGTTTCGCAACCACTCGTCTTAAGACCTGTACTATCGCGATGAAGCGTTCAGGCGTAGCAGAACAATAGGTCAGTCCACTCTCTCGCGTCAGAATATTCATAACTATGAAGTTGCAAGCTGTGGAGGTACAACGTTCATTTCATATGAGATCCAAGAAACATAATATCATCATAAACCAGCGAAGTAATTCAGAAACACTATTAATAAAACAGAATGGACTAACCTTCTGTGACTTTTCGTCACATACATCCATGCACTTCAAGCACAAAGGAACCGCTTCCGATTCCAAGAAGAAACGAACGGCATGTGATCCATGTGGATCATCAAACTGCACCAGCAAGCAAAATATCAGAATCATGAAGTAGAACTTCCACAAATGAAGAACACGTGTGTATATCTGTTCAAATGGACGGATACCTTTGACAGGTCACTGAGAACACCCAAGGTAGTGGTCCTCACACACTCCAAATGCTTATCATCTCCACAGGGCTTGAGAAATGGATAGAAATAACACGGTATTTCAGCTGCAAAATACAATTACTAAAAGAGTTAATTGTTGCTTACACTACAGTAAAAAGAATTCTTTCAGAAACTTGATTCACTCTAACTAGTTATTTCACGCGTTAATTTCATTTCAATTGGTGTCATTTCTAAAACTGATATTACCTTTTATGAGCCCCGTTCTTGTTTCTGGGTTATTAGCCATAACCTGAAGAATATAACCATAAAAATTATATGTTGTGCACACACTTATCAGTTGTCTTACATAAAAATTGCATTAAAACTCTTTTACTCTTTCTAAGAAAATGTATCACTGGAAGTTAATATGAAGAACATTAATACCACAAAAGTTTTAAAAAATAAAAATAAAAATACTCAGGTAGGTGTGTTTTGGTATGAGTGGAAAATATTTTTTGGGAAGTATTTTCATTTCTAGTGTTTGGTTTGGTGATTGAAAAGTATTTTTCAAAAAAATTCTTTTGTTTTTTTGTCGGAGTGTAGAAAATACTTTTTAGGAAATCAGAAATTGACCCCAAAAACAAACTCGATATTTGATCCAGAACTCAACCTTAATATCCAAATTGAGACACAATCCTAACACTCGAACTTGGACACGACCCCAACGATCGATTCAAGATCCGACCGCGAGTTCAGTTACTAGATAAAATTCCAAACCGGTACATGATCCCGACTCAAGACATGACTTTTGAACCTGGACCTGACAAGAAACCCAACTTGCAAATCGACATCTGACTCAAACATATGACCATAATGATCGATTAGGGATCCAACCTCGTCTCTTAAACCTGAGACCCAACTCCAACACCCGATTCGGAACCCCATCTCGACACCTATCTTGGAACTCAACTCCTACACCCGACCCAAATTTGATCTCAAATCCTGATTTGAGACTAGACACCCAAATTAATTAGGATCCTACCACGAAACACAATCAGACTTTGGATCGAATTTTAAGTCGGGACTTGACCCCAACTTTTGACTCGGGATCCAACATCCGAACTGGGATTTGATATGGACACCTGATCCATTACCGGACTTCCAAATCGACATCTAACCCCGATGATCGATCGAAACCCAACCTCGACTCTTGACCTAAGATCCAACTCCAACACCTAACTATGAATCCCACCCTAAAACTTAGCTCAAGACTCAACTTCGACACACAAACTCAAATCCTGATTGAAGACCCGACAGCCAAATTGGGATTTGACCTCGACCCAATTCTAGACCACAAAGTTGGATATCAAATCAAAGTCGAGAGTCAGGTTTCAAATCGAGAATCAGGTCATATTTCAAATTAGTATCGGAATTCAGTACCCAAGACTTGTGTTACGGTGGAAAGTTGAGCTGTGAGGTTGAATAAGTTTAAGAAAATGTTTTCTTTACTTTTTGGAGGTAAGTTATTTTTCTTAAATTTGAGAAAAAATGTTAATTCGAAAAACATTTAGGAACCGTTTAGTGAAGTGTATAAAAAATGATGTTCAATAGAGTGTATCATTAGTAATGCTTGGATTAGTTATGCATACATTATTTCCTACATATAACAAGTCTTGCGTAATTTACTAGTACATTGATCATCTCGTGGTTATTGAGAACGAATGAAATCAGGTGGTTTTGTTTCTCAATCATTCTAACCTTTTTTTGTTACTTCAATAGTATAAATTTATAACACACTATTTGATGGTATATTACTGACCTGAAACAAAGCAATAGCACAACAAACTCGAGTTGCTTCCCTCATAGATAGCGTTGAGGGTGAAAACTTCTTATACGCAGATGTGACTTCCTGAAATTCATAAGAAATATTATTATAGGCACATTGACAACTTCTTGCACATCAAAATACGAGTGTTTTATATGTTTCCGATTATATTTCACATAACTTAACACCTTAAATTTTTAAATGAGAGGTCTCTAAAAATTCAATTTAAGATTATCCAACAGAATATAAAACCGCAAAAATAAAAAGAGGTATACCAGCAAAAGCATGTAAACTGTGTTGAAGCTGTTCCACAGCAGCAGAGCTAGATTTTTTCATGAATCTTTCTTCTGAAATATATAAAAGTCACCAACTCAGAATATGACAATTACTAGCACTTTTAGAAGATTAAAAAAGGACTAAAATTTGTTTTGCCAAATGCTTAAAATGGGAAGTGTTGTTTGTCAAAAATGCTTATCAATACTTTTGAAGTGTAACAATTTATGTTTAACTATTAATATGAAAGATAATCAGTACTTAGATTAAGATATTTCTAAGATGGTCACTCAATTATGTTTTTTTAGGAGAAGGTCAATTTTCTTTTATATCCGCAGTAAAGTGGTTTTGTTGACTTTCAATAAGTACATACATTTTGTATGATCCTGAAACAATAAAACATTCGTTACATTATTTTTTCCTAAAAACATGGTGTTTATTTTAATTATAATTCAATAAATAAGAATTACTTTTTCTTAAATAAGAGAAGAATGAAGGGGATCATGTAAACTTCATCTAAATGAAATTTGGGGTGTGATTGTACTTTATAACGATAATAAAAATCGATTGATTGTACTATTCATAAATTTGAGAATGCATCCTTCCCTTTGATCAATTTTGTCCAATTCATCACATAATTATTGAAATATTATTTCTAATGTTTCAAGAAGTTTGCACTAATCAACATCGAATTATACACGTGCAACATACGTGTGAAAATTTGATTTTCGAATAAAATGTTAAATTGCGGTCTTGTTGAATTCTACATCATGCCCATTTTTGGTAAATATGACATATTTTCTTATATTTGTAGTTATATTTGTAGGTTCGCCTTTGTTGACATGATGTAGAGATCGATATCCTCAAGAAAGATGACGATGAACAATTGAGATAGTTGAAGTCAGTAGTAAAGAAGATGAATAGAGTAACGCTCTTGGAACTTTTTCGGAGTAAACAAAGTGAAAGAAGCCTTTGCCTTTAAAATGTCAACCACTTGGCTTCAGCTGGGTGGAACTGGACTGACCCGTTTTGACAAACTATCTTGGGCCTCCCAACATTTCTTTTGGGCTTAACTTTGTTCTAATAATATAAATGATACTTCATAAATAGGATTACTTTTTACACTCTTCTAAATTTAATTTTCATATGTGGTTTTTGGCAAAAAATAAAATATATGATTTTTTTAAAAACTGCAACTATCCTTTCACTCAAGTCCAGACATCTCTGGCATAGATATGAAAACTATTCTCAAAATGACATCAAAATCAATCATGTCAAACATCAACAAGTTTTTCAAGATTTTATATCCCATAAATATAATTCCATTACAATTTGCGATAGATAGATAAATTTGTTGACTTTCAATTAATACATATATTTTGTATGATCTTGAAACAAGAAAACATTCATTACATTATTTTTTTCTAAAAATATGGTGTATAATTTAATTATAATTCAATAAAAAAGAATTACTTTTTCTTCTGTGAGAGAAGAATGAAGTGGATCATTTAAACTTCATCTGAATGAAATTTAGGGTGTGATTGTAATTTATAACGATAATAAATATCAATTGATTGTACTATTCCTAATTTTTAGAATGCATCCTTCCCTCTGATCAATTTTGTCCAATTCATCACATAATTATTTAAATATTATTTATAATGTTTTAGGAAGTTTTCACTAATCGAATTATACACGTGCAATGTACGTGTAAAAATTTGATTTTTGAATAAAATGTTAAATTGGGGCCATGTTGAATTATACATCATGCCCGTTTTTGGTAAATATGACATATTTTCTTAACTTATTGAAAGATAAACTAATCATATCATCATAATTTCTATAAAGACCACTAACAAAAGTTCATTCATTGTGAAATCTAATGTCCAATTAAAAAAATCACGAAAAAAAATCAAATATCGATATTTTTTTTCCCTTTCTATCCCACCCATCGAACGACTATCCAGTAGAAAACAACAATATATAACAAACATATATACAAAATTAAAAATTACATAAAATAGATCGTATAACAAAAAGTACTGTAAAATTAAATGTGGCATATACCTCGTAGAGATGATGCATGACCTCTCCATGAAGACTAGCATCATCGATCAATAGCACCAACTGATTTGGGGTAAAAGCACCCAAGTCATTAGGACTTTTTTGTGATGGAGATGATGACGATGATCCCAATGTTGATTCAAAAAATGGTGACTCTGGTAGATTCTCCATTGAATAGTCTAAAAAAAAGTATTTGTTTAAATGATCTTCTAAATGAGAAAGAAGACACTAAAATGACGCGTTTGACAACGAGTAATTGTTTGTTTACCCTTAAGAGAAATTGAAGTCGGAGATGGACAAATGTAGTTATATTTGTAGCTTCGCGTTTGTTGACATGATGTAGATAACGATATCCTCAAGAAAGATGACGTTGAACAATTGAGAGAGTTGAAGTTAAGAAGAAGAGTAGAGTAACGCCTTTGGAAGTTTTTTGGAGTAAACAAAGTGAAAAAAGCCTTTGCCTTTCAAATGCCAACCACGTGACTTTGGTCGGGTTTGATTGGAAGACCCATTTTGACAAACTATCTTGGGCCTCGCACCATTTTTTTGGGCTTTCTCACTTTGTTCTAATAATATAAATGATACTTCATAACACTCTTCTAGAATAAATTTTCATATGTGGTTTTTGTCCAAAAATAAAAGATATGAGTTTTTTTGCAGTAGAACTACAACTACCCTTCCACTCAAGCCTAGACAACCCTGAGATTTAGATATGAAAACTATCTTGGCATGATCATCAAAAACAATATTATATGAAGACAACAAAATCATCCCCAAAATGACATCAAAATCAACCATGTCAAATATCAACAAGATTTTCAAGATTTTATACCCCATAAAAGTCATCACACAAAAATAATAGACTTTATCAACAATCACAAAATCACCCAAAGGAGTAGAAATATGAATTCGAACATCAAGTGATTCACAAATCATACTCAAACTCACAACAAAATAAATAGGCATATATGAAATGGTGAAATCAGGGTTAAATAAGAATGTATATATTCAATCATAGACTAGAATAATACCTATGGTCACTATATCAGATACTTCTGCCTCACTATACTCTAAAAATCATAGAAGTTAGTCTGACCACCTGCCTAAGTATTGTCTCAAGTGGTCTAAGTATGGATAGCCTGACCATCATCTCGGAAAGGATAGATACCATCCTTATCTGTTGTGTAACCACCCTATCCAAATTGAGGATGATATCTAACATACGAGTTGTTGGAACTAATGCTCGAGAAGCCTATTGCTGAACTACCTACTTACCATGTCTTAATTTGGGGCGTAACAAGAGGCTCTCCTCAAAATATTCTAATGAATCCTCACCAGTGTAGGGACCCGATCCTTTGTATAATATGAAGAACCAGCTTGTGAAAAGTACAACCAATTGTAAAAAAGCTGTTTGTGACAGAGAAAGTTGGTGAGGAGCAGAGTACTTCTCCAATAAGAACTGACTAGGTTGTTTTTTTTGGAGGAAGGATAATTATCCACAAGACCACCTCGTTTCAATGGTCAATACTATGAGTGGTGGAAAAATCTAATGCATTACTACATTAATGCAGAAGATTCAGAGTTGTGAGATGTTATCCTGGATGGTCCTTATGTTTCAATGAAAGAGGTGAAGTATGGAAGTCTCACCACTTTTGTGGTTAAGACCACAAAGGAGTTTACTGAGATTGATAGAAAAAAGTACGAAAAGAACTACAAGGCGAAAAAAATCGTATTCTGTGGTATAAGTGCTGATGAGTATAACAGAGTCTCAGCTTGTGAATCGGCAAAAGATATTTGGGACTGTCTTCAAACTACTCATGAAGGAACCAAGAAGGTGAAGGAATCAAAGGTGGACATGCTTACTATTCAATATGAAAATTTTGTGATGAAGGATGGTGAAACTATATTTGAAATGAATCTCGTTTCACTGCCATCATATATGAGTTAAGAGGTCTAGGAGAACCTATACCTATGTGCAAGCAAGTTTGAAAAATTCTCAAGATTCTTCCAAAATCTTGGGAAAGCAAGGTGATGCAATTACTGAAGCAAAAGATCTAATGACCTTGCCTATGGATGAGGTTATTGGAAATATGCAGACCTATGAGTTGAATAAAAGAAAGGAGCAATTAGGAAGGAGTCAAAGAGAGAAAAGAATATTTCTTTGAAATCTTCACAAATCAAGATGACTGAAGAAGAAGCTAAGATGACATACATGACAAAGAGGTTCCAAAAGATTGTCAAAAAACATGGGCTTCTAAAAGAAAGGAACAACCAGCAGAGTGGCAGCAGCTAATGACTTATGTCACAAATGTGGTAAGCCAGGTCACTTTATGAGAGACTGTCCAAGTCAAAAACAATAATCTCATGAAGTGAGATATTGTTAGAAGGAACTGATTCCAGACAACTTTCGAAGGAAAACACATGCTGATCAGATGGTAAAAGAGCCTTTGTTGTATGTGATGATGATTCATGTGAGTCCGGGGAAGAAGTTGAGGAGCACGAAGATGTTTCTATGATGGACATTGAAGATAATAAAAAGCATCTTCAACTCAATGTTCTCATTAATGCAAGATCAAATGATGAGGATGATGCACCTGAGGTAACTTTTTTGAATTAAAAGATGATCTGGGAAATCTTTCTACTTAAAGTCTGAGGAAACTTGCTGCTTTACTAATTGATTCTGTAGATGAGCGATCTACTGAAAACTTAATGCTGACAGAAAAATTAAGTTTATTTCAGAATGAAAATGCATCTTTTCTAACACAGATTTCTGAAATAGGTAGAAGAATAGGGATACTGGAGTCTAACAACAACATTGATGAAGAATAGCCTAGTACCTCTAAACTTTATAAAAGAAAACTTAGCATTTATGAGGAAGAATTGGAGGATAAGCTTAAAATCTCTGATTCTGATTAGTTGCTTCTCTTGAAACAAATTCTCAACTAAGGAAAGATCTTAAGAAAATCAAAGAAGAGTTAAGTCACTCCCTAAAATGGACTGACTCTTCCAAGATTTTCTCTAATCTCTCTTGGAAAAGTTTTAATGGGAAAAGAGGTCTAGGGAGCAAAAGAATAGAACCACCATATAATCCTTATGGAAAATATGTGTCTGTGGTTGCTAGTTTCTTATGTACTCATTGTGGAAGAAGTGGACATGTAAAATAAAGGTATGATAAATTAAAATATGCTAAGGAGAGGCATGTGAAGTTTGTGAAATTAGAAATTCGTCAGACTAACTAGGAGCAAGGACCTGGTTTATGTGATAAATCTTTCAGAAATGACAGACCTGTGAAAAAATTGAAAAAAGGGACGTGGTTCTTTTTTCCATTTTAGTAAAAACTTCTCACCTCCTTGGAATAGAAGATTTCTTGTTAAGACTTTTAATAGTTACTGGGAACTCTGCATAAAGTGGGTTCCTTAAACTAAGAAGCAATTATTGTGCAGAAGAGAGGAAAGAGTCAGTGCTGGTACATGGATAGTGGATGATGTAGGCACATGACAGGGGATACCTCAGACTTCCTCTCTTTGTCACACAAGGGTGGTGGTGTTTCCTTTGGTGGTGGAATGAAAGGTTCTATTCTTGGAATTGGAAAGATAGGAATGTCTAACAGTAACTCAATCAACAATGTTCATTATGTGGAAGGGCTCAAGTACAATCTTCTGAGTATATCTCAGATGTGTGACAGAGGAAATGAATTCAAGTTCATGGCTAATAATTTTTTGGTTACAAACTGCATAACATGGAAGGTGGTGATGTCAGCTACAAGAGTAAGAAATATGTACGTATTAGACCTAGAATCCATTGAAGGAGATGATATTTCATGTCTAAGTGCTCAAATTGATGAATCTGATCTATGACGCAGACGTCTTGGTCATGTAAGTTCTACTCTTCTTAACAAACTTGTTGCAGGGACCTGGTCCGTAGACTTCCCAAGGTGAAGTTTACTTGGGTGATGTTTTTGAGAACAAAGAATGAGACAGCTGGACAATTGAGTTTTTTTAAATCATAATATTAATTTATTTTTTGAAACATAATCATTTTTTTTCTTTTTTGTTATATTTTTTCGTAAAACAATATTGATATGTACCTTGTGGTACAATTTTAGTCTTTCACGAAAAATTTAAGTAATACATCGTTTTGAGTGGCAGAGCCACATATATTCAAAAAGAGTCAATTAACACAAGTTCAAGGAAAAAGTATATACACTATGTGTTGTGTTTATCCCTAAATATTATATAAAATGATTAATGACTATTCAAATTCATAATTTGAGTAAATTATCTTAAAATTAACTTTCCAACAAAATATTCAATTAATAAACTCATTAATTTCTTCTTACTTAAAAATAAAAGAAGCAATATTCATTTTATGATTGCAATTAAAAGTCAAATTAAGCAACTTCAGTCAAAGTTCAATTGATTCTATTAAAAAATATTTATAATCTGTAGTAAAATTTAATCAAGACATTAGTAACTAACATTATATATCACTATTTCAATCCATAGTTCACACTGTCTCTATATAACCTCTGAAGCATTTCTTGGAAAAAAATATACACATATAATTTTAAAATATATCAAATGGAAAATCAAACTATTATTAGAAGAGTAGAGTTGTTGGTTTCACCACTTGGTGGAATTCCACAACGAAGAGCTGCACATTTTTTAGATCCGATTGCTACTTCGGCTAAAGGACCAAATTTCAAAAATCCTTCAATCCACTTGGCAATCAGAATCTGAGTGTCCATTGAAAGTTAAGTTTCATGGTTGCAATGGATGGAGGGATCAATAAAAGAAATAGAAATAATGGGTTGAAACGATGGAGTCTATCCATCACCCTGTATGGATAGCTACAGGAGTTTACGAAGTGCTTAAAGGTTCAACTTATAGAGTCCATACCGACGAAAATTTAATCTTTGGGTTGGTAGAGAGGTGGTCTTGTAAGACTAACAATTTTATGTTTCCGTGGTGTGTCCCTACAGTTAGTCTTTAAAAGATGATGGTTTCGGGAGGGTTTTTTGTTTTGGGTGACTATGTGAAGTACCCCTTTCAATCTCCTAATTTGGTAGCGATTGAAGAGTATCTTGAGAATGCGAGGAGAACTTATCAGATCAAAGACAAATAATCACAGTAGGTTGTTGAATTACTTCATGAATAGTGGTTCAGTGTGAT